AGTTGACTACTGGGTTTATATGGGCTCAAGTTCGAGAATTTGATCGTTTCGGCGATTGTTTTTGTACTTGTGCTCTTATAAATTGGTCGGTTCTGTGACAATACTAGTCCCGATTATGGGGTTGTGTTGGGCGTCTATGTTTTTTCCCCTTAACAAGCAAGGTATGGTCGTGGAAGGTGAAAGAATTTGAATTGCTTCATAAGAATGTTTCACTTCCATTAACCATTCCTTTGATGGTTCTACTCTAGAGGAGACTTCCTTTGTGTGCTTTTCGTGCCATGATAACTTCAAGGTATTGCCATAATCCTTGAATTTGAATGCGAACTCCGAAGGGTGAATCACTCTTTCCTTCGGTGTTCATGGTTCGGGTGAGAGCTCAATAGGTTATCCATCTTTATTAGGGCCCTCAACTACATTATTCATCGCAAGAATGAACGATGAACCCGCAAACAAGTAAGAATAAAGCTTAACTAATCAAAAGACTTATAACCATAAGAACCACGAACACTCACTTAGCAAAATGCTCCATTGAGGCACAAGTGTTCATCGAGGTAAAAGTTAGGGGAGAAACCGATAAGCCCGGCGCTTCCTCGTACACTGCCTCACATCTCTCCCTACTAACTCTACTAGCTAGCTAGGTCCTAAGCCCTTTGAAATGATGCTCTTGTGGTGTAGCTCTTGCTCCTTGGATGCTGTTCTATTTTGAATGGAGGGGGAGGCTTCTTATATAGTGGTTCGTAGAGGGAATATTCATAGGATACCGCATGAAACCGCCTTGGGGCATTAATGAGAGGGCCCACATGTAGGCACGCTAGAGGCAGTGGAGCTTTGGGTGCGGCCACACCCTGGGTGCCGCCAGACCTAGGTGACACCGCCCAGCGACCGCCTTGCTCTAGTTGGTCACCTGCTGGGCCTGGGCTACGTCCATGTAGGTTTTGCGCCAAGAAAAGGTGGTTTGAATTGTTTTTGGCCCTTGTCTCCTTTATGCTTTGGGCCCGAATTTGCTTAGCATTGGCCTTCCCCCCCCTTGAGCTCTTTTGCTTTGCACAAGATGGCGTTATGCTTTGTCTCTTTGTGCATTTAGGGTATCTTTTCCATTGTTTTCATATAAGTCCTCCTAAAAAAGGCAATTCACCAAAACTTGTGGAAAGATGTTAGATTCAAACCCTATCACTATGTTTGGTGTTTGTTTGGTTGGATTTAACATAAAGATTGGTGGTTGAAAATATGAGGTAAGGACCACCAACACTAAACATTCGGAGTTTTTCATTTAAAAAAATGCTAAAATCAAAAGTTTCTCAATGATTATGAATACCTACCAAGGCCATATGACAATATTCACATACAAAACCTTAGTCATATGCTACTTGTTTTTGCATTGAGCTTTGTCAAATTGTCATGCATCCATGATCAAGATATACGTACACCCACAAATAAAATAATGACTCTTACACTAAGAGTTAAGCAAAAACATGCTTATTTTGTCCACAAAATAATTACTCCATTCATTTATCATGAGTCTCTCTTCCTAAAATTTCATATGCCACAAAAGAATAGTATGGGCTATGCTAAAAAAAAGAGAGAAAAGAAAAAAAATCCATGGCAAAAGGCATGAGAGAAAAAAAATGCATGCCAAAAAGCATGAAGAAAAGAAAAGAAAAAGAAAGAAAGAAATAGGATAGCCCATACTTTCAAATAAAAGGCATTCATCCAAAAGAGAGTCATAGTTCTAAGGAGTACCAAAAATACATAGAATTAGGAACATTATAAAAATTCCACACACTTGCTCGTCTTGATCAAAGTGTATGACTTGCATCTCCTTGGATGCAGTTTTTTACTTAGGAAAATATGTGATGCAAGTATGGCTCGCTTTTTCATACCTACCTAAAATTCCCTTTAGTGAAAAGAAGGAAAAATACCAAATGCCTTGGTGAGGTTCTATACACATTGAGCGATCAAGTGAATCATTTATGGAACTTATATTTATTTTGCAAAACTCATAAAATCTCTGGATAGAAGGTTGATTGAAGAATGAATGACTAGTAATTCTGTTATAACCGTTCTATCTTGGAACCACCCAAAAACTTGGAAAAGCTACATGCCCCATAGGGATCAAGGTAAAAGGGTGGATAAAAATGCTGACTCATTTAAATTGTGGAAGAATACTTTGTTATAGGCATGGCACTTATGAAATATATTTGGCATTGTAGCAACTTCTAATCAACAACCAATGACTTAGTTGTTTGCATGGGACGAGCAAAGGTTAAGCTTGGGGGATTTGTTGGTGGTCCTTAATGACCAGATCCAACTGCCAATTGACATCTAGAACAAGAGAAATAAACAAACTTATGACACATATGCATTTATTATTTATATAGTTCCACTTGGATTGGTAGAATCATGTTTTGCAGGACATATATTTAATACAAGTGGAAAACAAGACAAAAAGGTGCAACTCAAAAAGCGTAAAGCAGAAATATGCTAAGGAATAAAACAAGAAAGCCCACCTACAAAACAAAATCTAGGACGAGCACAGACATGGGAGGAGCCTAGGCTGAGCCACCAGCCCACCTGGCAAAGGTGGTGGGCAGGCAAGCCAACCAGGGTGCGGTCGCACCCCAGGTGATGTGGCCTGGGCCTAGCCTCCTTTGGCGGTTGCATGGCGGCATGCTGAGGCGGTTTAGGCTAGTTTCCTTTTTTTAGTGCCAAACTAACCTCCAGCTAATATAATTATAGGGGTGGAACTCTCTTTCAAAACACACACCATTTGGAGCTACACACCTCACTACCACTTGTTGTATTGTTACTTTTAGTAGTCTTTTGTGAGCTAGCAAAGCTATCAAGGGGAGCTTGGCTCCTTAGAAGAAGAGAGAAATCTTGGTATGAATACAATGAGAGTTTCTTCTAAAGTCTTGCTCTCATTTTATCAATATAGTTGTGCTTATGAACTAGAGTATAGTTTTCATGTTATAATCTTGACATATGAACTAGCATATAGTTTCTATGTTATGAACTTAACATGTAGAACTCTATGCTTAATCATTCATATAACTTACATGATTAGAATTAGAGCTAATTTAAGGTGGTGGTTTATCGTGCCTTCGGGTGTGCCCATGTCCTATGCTTGTCGATCCATAGGGTCAGAGTCCCGGGGGGATGTGGTAGTTTTTGTGTAATCAAGTGTGGTGCCCAGGTACATAGGGATAGGTGAATGCATTTCCTACTCCATGATTGAGGTGTAGGCGGTAGGTGGTGACAGCCGTGTCCGTCCCTTGTAATCAGCCACGTTTGGGTAGGGTGTAGGAGTCTAAATTGTCACATGAGGTTGCTAGCAGACTAGTACTCGGTGGCCTCCGATCTTTCTTACACATAGATCTAGCTCTAACCATGTAATTTGTATGATCATCAACTTTTCTTTGCACAACTATATTAGAACAAGCCTGCTCCACTTAGGAACATTCTTTTATTCTTTATTTCACTTATATCCTTGAGGTTGGCCCAAGTGTGTGTCCACTATCCTAAATATACCATGTTTACCCCTGTATTAAACTTTGGTTCACTATGCAAGAATGTAATCCTGTTCATATCGATGCTAGACTCTTTACACCATTCCTTCCTTTGGGAAAATATAAATAATGATACCCTGAATACTTCAAGGGGAAATGCTACAATGATATATCCATGTGCTTGTGGATATTGTTTCTATAATCGTTAAGAACTATCATAGTTGGTGTTTCTTGGTGGCGTCGCTAAGTTTTACTAAATCATTGTGATGGTGCTAAGAAATGCCAATAGGCATTTCTAGCGCCATTGCCAGGGATGAGTTCTATCTCCAAACTTGGGAGACATGCTAAATGTTTATACTAACACATAGCTTACATTGTTACGAAGCTAACGCAACAAGAACAGGTCCAAACAGAGCTAAAACACGCAAGTTAAGGCTAAAACTAGTTTTCGGGAGCCTATTTGCGAAGTAAACCTAAATCTAGGGTGTCAGTGTTTTTTATCGGTAGATATTCAGTTCTTGGGGAACACTGCTTGGTGTGAAGAACAATCATAGATGAAGACAAGATTTATACTGGTCCATGCCCCCAGGAAGCGAGTAAAAGCCGTACGTCCAGTTGCTACTCTTGTATTGCTTGTATTCAGCGAGGTTGTGAGTATAATGTAGCTATGCATATGAAAGAGTCAATGATTACAATAGAGGGTATTGCTAACTATTTATATCCTGGATCAACTTGCCCTACAAGCTAAGGAGTTGTGCCCTAGTCAGAGTCCTGGCGCAATCCAGAGATATCCTTCCTTGAATAGGGTCATCGTGGGCCTTCGGGTCTTCTCTGATCCCGAGTTGGTAGTCGGCAATATGGAAGCCAGGGTACCCAGGGGTATGGCATTGACATAAGCCCCAAGCTTATCTATCAAATGCAACTTGGAAGTCTACGGATAGTTGGGGTCGCCTTAGTCGGGTAGTTTTGTAGTCCGGGTACTAAGAGGTAGCCCGGGTTACCAATAGCGACTTAAGTCCTAACCTCATGAAAGCCGAAAAGGTGCACTATTGGGAGATGTGCTTGTTCCAGTGCCATCCCCTGGTCATCTTGTCTTGTCAATCCTATTTCACACGAAAGCTAGGGGGCGCACAGTCGTCTATCAGTCGAAGCACTGCGTCGGCTTGGTTCCCCATGAGTGCAAATGGTGGAGATTTAATTCCTTTTTAATTGGGACAGCGGTTGAGATTCCTAGGAAGGCAGCTTGGTCCTATTTAATCATGCCTGCTTGTAATGAATCTGTAACTTCCATCCCCAAATCTTGCTGCGAAAATGAGGAAGAAGACTACCGCAAGCATCCCTACAAGGTGCTGCGTCTACTACTCACCAACTCGCCCGAACAATAGGTAGTGGTGACTTGGTCAGGCAGTACGCCATCGCCTCCACCGTCTCGCCCATGCCTGTGTCCCCGACGTCCTCTAGAGCCCAGTGCCAGTAGGGGCATTGCCGCTAGCCATGCTCCCCACGCCTCCAGCCCTAGTGGTCCCGGGAGGGGAAGCTAGGGTCGGTGAAGGTGCTCCGTTGCAGTCCCCGGCCAGGCCTTCGACCCAGCCGGTGCCATCTGCACTAGAGGTGGTGATTGAGCTCTCTATTGAGGATGAGCTAAAAGACCCAACCCTACCGGCAAGTACTGCTCCTGCTGCCCCAATCATCTCCACCGCCAATGTCGCCTGTGCCACCTCTGCCCTCCTTGACTTCCCCGGCCTCTCAACTCCTTGCACCGGTGGCTCGCTGGACACAAGCCATGATGAGGAGATCACAAGGAAGCTCTTTGTCGAGCTGAATTGTGAGGCTATTGGCATCCCAGGGGATAGCGGCCTAGTGATCCTCAGCAGTGACTGCAAGGAAGAAATCATCGAGGAGGAGGAGGTCGATGAGGAGGAGAAGAAGGATGAGGTGAAGGACAAACCCACAGGCAGCGGGTCACCGTCGAGGAGGTAGGCTGCTTGCATTTCGTTAGCGAACCCCCCAAGGAGCTTGGTGATGATCAGGGGTGGTGCCCACTCCAGCCGTCTTAGATTAGAATTCTAGTTTAATCATTTGTAAATCCATCTTCATGAATTATCAATGAAATGACTAGTTCCTGATGTGGGTGTTTATTTTGCTTTTATTCGCTTTTTCTAAACCGTTCCGTGTTTGAGTTGTCGCGAGCAGAGTCGCTGCGCATTGCATGTGGATGTAGTTCCAAGTCAGGAATTTTTCTGTAGTTTTCTCCCCATCATTGAGTTTACTTGCAGCCCTGATCTATAGGCTAATTGGGATCTAACACTATAGTCGGGTTGTAGCTTCACCCTTAACTCAAGCACAAAAAATATCTCAACCGTTTGTTACTCATTGGGCACCAAATCGCCAATTTTATTGCTAAAATTAAAAAGTGATAGTTTTCCTGGTGAGTAACAACAAGCATGGTAGTCTAGGCGCACGTTCTAGCTACCTAGCAGTTTTTTGGGGATCGTGCGTGCCAGACAGCCATTAACCCCTTGCCCCACTTCGGTGGCAACCATTGTGCCTATTCTCCCGCTTAGCATTTCCAAAATCTACCTTTAGCCTTTTCGCCTTTTCCCTTGCCCTCAACTGCTCACCTCCGCGACCATCATGGCCTCAAGCTCTGAGCTTGATGCCACCACTCACTGTGAGGAGGCTACCGCAGCGGAGCCCTAGCCCTTGGTCCAACCGAAAGTAGAACCCGAGGACCTAGCGGAGCCGATGGATCCAGCAGAGCTAGTGGTCACCGTTCAACTGAACGAATACTGGGTCACCACAACAACATTGGAAATGAATCTAGAGACATTGAGGGGGCATGGTCTTCTTCTAGAAGGTTATGAATGGACTACCATCCAAGGTGAGAATCATCTGACCCCGGACACCTTCCGAATCACCACCTTCACTGCTCATTGTGAATGCGGATTTGGGGTGCCACCATCCAAGTTCTTGGAGCGAGTTTGTAGACACTCAAGATCAATGTTTCTTAGATGCTACCCAACACAATCACTATGCCTAGAATTTTTGCCTTTCTGTGTGAGGCATGGCTTGGTGTCAAGCCTTATATCGATTTATGGTGCTACTTTTACTCGGACATGTACCATGGCACCAATTTGTTCATTGGGTCAGTCGGTTTCTCCCTCAGGAAGAAAGGAGAGTACATTATTTTCCCGATCAAGTCCTCCTAGAAGGGCTATGCAAAGAAATGGTTTACATTGATCTTCGCAAGAAGAATATCATCAAGGCAGATTATAGGATGCCTATGACTAGTGAAGCATGGTACTCGACCCCCATCATGACTGAGAAGATGCGAGGCTATATCGAGCATGTTTGAGCTCTTTGGGAAACCAGATTGATCGCCGCACACGTAGTCAAGACCTTTGCTAGATGGAGGATCATCCCATTAAAGCACAGGAGTCTGGCCTACATATATTCGGGGATCACAGATCCGAACAGAGAGTCAGTGGCAGGTTAGATGCCCTTATCCTGACTTTGTTCTTATTCAAAAATATTACCCCTTTGATTGTTTGGTTTTAACCTTGTCATGTTTTTTTAGAACTGTCAGACGAAGAGATCACTCACTAGGTGAAGTTTATCCATGGCATGGATCAGGCCAGCTGGGAAGGTGTCCCGCAGCCATATAGCGTCGAGAATCTACCACCCGGGGTGAGTGGCTGAGGTCTCTTTAGACTTACTTCCCTAAACAGTCAGTTTAACTCAATCTCTTGTGTTGTCAGGTGCTACCAGGTGTTGGAATTGTTCTAGGGAGTGATCTGAGTGATGATGAGGGGGACACCTCGAGAGCCCCCCAAGCCCTAGCCCCTAATCCTATCGGGGCTATGGATAGGCAAGGGTTGGGGATGAACCGGCCTAGGGATAGGCAAGGGTTGGGGACAAGACTACCTAGGAGCAGGTAGTGGATGGGGAGAGGTTGCCACAGGAGTAGGCTATCCCTGAGAAGACACCTGCCCCCAAGTCAAGGATGACTAGATGGAAGAAAGTAGAGGAGGACACAACACAGGGGCTAGCAAAACACAGGAAGATGCTAGCCGCCCGATCGGCCCCTCAAGTGGAGAAGAGAAAGCTCCGCTCGCAAGGGGAACCCGACAATGTCTCCCTTCCAGAGAGCAAGAGGGCCAGGACTAAATCCAAGAGCCCTCCATCTGGAGATGGTGTGAGGGTGGCCATGGCCCAAGGCGGTGCTAGCGAAGGGCGCTCGATCAGGAACCCACCATGAGGACAGGACCAGGTATCCACTATGATCATCTTTGGTAGGTTATTTGAAGCATTTGCTTATATAGATGGTATCAAATGCATACAGGAGGTTTGTCCTCAGGAAAAAGTGTCAACCTCGACAACCAGCAACCCGATGACTAGGCAGGCACCAAAGCTTAAGTGCTTCATTCCCTTTAATCCATGAGTAAACTAAATAGTGTCATTTTTTATCTTTTTTATCTTGAGTATCCTCTTGATGTATGTGGTTTTCGATAACGATAACAGGCCAGCTGATGCCCCAAGCATGCCAGCCGGAGGTGACAACTCTGATGCAACCCCAACCTAGGATAGGCCTAACTAGGAGCTATCAACCCAGGTTAAGGTTCCTAGGAGTGAGGAGGTGGTTCCCGAAGATGACCCCTCTTAGATGCGTCCTCTTATCGAGGGTATGAAGACTTGTCAAAGCATGTGGAAGGAAGCTAGTGACAAGGCCAAGCATTACAAGACAATGGTAACTCACCTAAAAGATGAGGTGAAAACTCTTCGACATGCAAACAAGGGTATGTAAAATGACTTGCTTACATAATTTTGTACCTTCGTTGTGGAGATTGTCTTAAACCTTGCCGTGTTTGTAGATCATGTCACCTACACCAAGTGCCTCAAGGGTGAGAAGACAACTCTAGAGCAGGAGATTAGGGAATTGCGGCACAAGCTTGAGGTCTCTGAGCAGCGTCGTATAGATGTTGAAGGAAACTTGCCTGATCTTAATGTAAACCTAATTTCGCACGGCTACAACTGTGATGGAGGTAAGGTCGAGGAGCTTTTTGATGAGAGCCGGGTAGCACTCGAACCATTTGTAGAGAAGTTGAACATGTCAGTTAGTTATGTGGAAGAGGAGGAATGAAACATTTACTTGTCCCTACAACACTGTGAGATATATATTGTAATGCACTACTTTTGTTTGTCTTACATAATTCTTCTTGTTTTCGCTATTTCGACCCTTCATCAAGTAATCGGTTAGACTTGTAGTAGCTAAACTCAGCCGGTTTGCGTACTGTATGTTGATGCCATTTACTTCATTTAGGCTTAGCATGAACGAGAATTTTTGCAGACTAGTGAATAGTAGTATGGTAGCCCCCAACTCTTTATTTGGATATGTATAGCTTATCCAAATAAAGAGTAGCAGACTAGTTGAGAAAAATATTGAAATTGAATAGCCCCAGCCCCCGAGTGCTTGTACTCGGGAATGATACGACTAATAGAGAAAAAAGGAGTACATAAAAAATATGGCACTTATCCGGATATGATGCTGAGAAACAAAATACAAGGAACACAGTTTATTATACATAAAAGCATTGTAGCTAATCCATGTTCCACGTATTCAGGACCATGTCTCTATCAATGTTTGCTTTGTCGGTATGTGCCTGGTCGAGCTATTTCAACAACAAGATATGGACACTGCCAAGGGTGGGGTCAACTTAGTTTTATCCTTTGTGCGCTAGTCTTGTTTGAGCACCAGATCTCTAACGCTAAGTGCCCGGCCGCGTACACACTGGCTGTGACATTTCCGAAGGGCTTGCTGATATTTCTCTACTCGGAATGTAGCTATATCACACTTCTCTTTGAGGAATTCAAAGTCGGTACAATGACGATCAGCTTGCTCTTCTTCAAAGAACATCCCTACTCAGGGCGAATTTAGTCGGACTTCGGGGGGAAGGACAGCTTTAGCCCGATACACAAGAAAAAATGGTGTTTTGTCCGTGGCCCGATTAGCTATAGTGCATACCGCCCATAAAACTATAGGGAGCTCTTCAACCCATTTTTTATCATAGATGCTAAGCCTATTAAAAATGTGTGTTTTGATCCCTTGTAGAATTATACTGTTAGCACGCTCTGCTTGACCATTGGTCATCGGGTGATAGACCGAGGACTGATAATGCTTAATGGCATGTCTTTCACAAAATTCTCAAACTTTTTGCTAGTAAATTGTGTACCATTAGCCGAGAGTACTCGGTGCGATATGCCAAAACGCATTACAATGCTTCGCAAAAATTTAACTGTATTTTCTTTGTTTATCCGGCCTACCGGCTCAGCTTCAACCCACTTTGTGAAAGTATCGATCGCTATAATCAGAAATCTGCAACCACCCTGGGCTCTTGGGAAAGGACCCAGGATGTCAATGCCCCATGTGGCAAATGGCCAAGACAAAGGGACCATGTTTAACGCTTGAGCAGGTTGGTGAATTTGTAAAAAAACTGACAAGACTCACACATTCGAACCAACTCAGTGACGTCTTCGAGCGCTGTTGGCTAGTACAAACCTTGTCGAAAGGCTTTCTCAACCAGCATTCTATGAGAGGCATGGGACCCAAAGATTTCCCCATGGATGTCGTGGAGCAAACTAAAGCCCTTAGTCCGGGTGATACATTTGAGACGAACCCCATTTTGCCCTCATTTGTAGAGGGTACCGTCCACCATTTGATAAGTCATGGCTTTATGGCTGGTTCATTCTATATTCATATCATCGACTAGAGTAGCCTAGTTTGTGAGGTACGCCCAGATTAGATCCATCCAGTTCTCCCAATTTCCAACTAGAGCAGCAGCATGAGCCGTATTGCCCAGCATAGACTTCCCAAGGAATTCGCTGAGTATTGCCTCATCGCTTGATGGATTAAGCGTGGGGTTTGGACTCGACTTTGACATTGGGATAGAGGGTTTTGTGAGCACTTCAACCAGGATGTCTCC